ATTTATTTTGACAACATGCTATTGACGACGTAGGTGGTGGATCTTCATGAGAGCCGACATCGAAACTCTGAAAATGATGGTTTCTAATACCCTAAGGAAATGGGCAACATATACTTTAAAAGATAGTGTAGATATGCTAAGTCAAAATGTTTAGGTTGATTATAAGATTTAGCAGATCAGATTATATACGATTCGTTGAGTTTGTTCTTTAAATGAATAAGTTTATATGTTGGCATAGGCTTAGTGGCTTAGCTAAACCCAATAGTTAGAAATCCATGTGTATAGATTCTTTGGAATACATACAGTACATAACAAAATGTGTTACTAAATGTTCGAATAAAAGGTCTTACTAACTAAATACATTAATAGGGTGTCATATAAGCTATGTAACCTAAAGTTAGTCACATATATCATTTACACAAAACATATATCATATGTATGAAAATATATATATTTTTTCATTTTAAAGTTGCAAAGAATACCAAGCTATTAATGATTTTGACTTATGCAATCTTAAAACAGGATTCCGTGCCGTTTAAAAAAAATCGGAGTATTCAAGTGGGTTGAAAGTTTAATACTTTCATAAGTTTGTGTTTGTCTTACACTTTGAATCGGTCAAATAATTATATGGTCATGTAGTGACGCTTAGGTCAAATTTTCTATATCTAGCTCGCAAAATGGACGGCCCGTAGAAGCATTATTATTAAGGGTAGACAAAAGTATTCGAACCAAACCAGCCGAACATAGACCAATCTAAATCAAATCAAAGTATATATGTATAAATTATTTGGTTAAAGCCTTTATCATTTCAAATGGTTGGGTTTTAAACTGAAGCGAAGTGAAAAACTAAAGTATTTTTTTAATTAAATTAACTAAATACACTAATAATATTAAAATTTAATTTAACCATTTAAGCTGAAAACTATATATATATATATATATATATATATATATATATATATATATTTGACTTCTAAATAAATAGAAGAAACACAACAAAAATAAAATTAAAAATATAAATTTCATACATTAACATCAATACTGAAAATTACCTATTATATTTGAATATATAACAATATAAATTATTAAATTACATCTTTTATATTTTATTGTGATGTTTAGATTTATGTCTAAATATGAAAATAATGATTTAGTTTCAAACGATAATGTATTTTCTGTTTTCATAAATTATATTTGTGTAATCAACTAACAAAATTCAAAAAAAAAACAAAGTAAACCAAACACAAAGCAAACTAATTTTAGATGGTGTTATTCAATCATGTAGTTTAATAGAGTTTCGATCTAAGAACAATCATTCGATTGATGATTCTAAATTATATAAAATCTAGTGTCATTAAATATAATATTTATTATTTATTTAAAATTTGGTGTTATTCAGTGAATGAATTAAATAATATTTTTTTAAAATTTGTTATTCAACTTAAACGGATTTAAATTTCTTTTGTATTTAAAACTTTCAAATCAGTAGTTATGGATTTTCATGAACAAATAATCAAAATCAAATCCAAAACATATTGTAAATATTTGAGAATCTACCAACTAAAACTATTTTAAACTTTTAAATTTTAGTTGATTACAAAATATTAAAAGTTATCTTTAAATCCTTTATTGAATAACACCCCTAGTTGATTTTGATTAAATCGAAACGAAATAAAACCATATCCACATTAAATTTTTATTATTTAATTTGTTTTTAACAATGATATTCTGAGTTTGAAATCTCAAATCCGTAAAAACATAATTTTGCTAAATATATATTATCTATAAACATAACATCTTTCTCCATATTTTATACTTATTTCTTATAATGCCTCTAAGTTATTTATATATATATAGACTTCTTAAGACCTCTGACTTAATATTATATCATCGTTGCATAATTAGAAGTTATGGGTCCAATACTCCATATACTCCATGTTATTGTTTACTTTTAAAAGGAACTTCCAGATTTTTCTCTTTGGATGCCAGCACGTGTCGTTACAGTCACATTAAACCCTTAAATTTTGGGAATTAAGATATTAAACCCTAGTTCTATTTAAACCCTAAGGCAACCTACCAATTATTTAGGTAGATAGCGTTTTAAATAAGATACGATCTAAAGTTTGTCTAGATCCAAAAGACGACCGTAGTCGTTGACTTGTTTACCCATATTAATCTTCTGGAATCTATAGGAAACATTGTATGAACTTACAAACTGATTGTAGATATAACAAACAAAAATCAAAACACAATTCGAGCTCGAACATGAAGTGACTCACGTATTACCGTTGGTCGACTAGTTTATTATAAACTAAATTATGGGCTGATACAAACTAGTGTCACTGCAAATATAGCTTTCTCATTTTTGTCGGTACTGTTTTAAAAATGAATTTAAAATTAAATTCAAATCAAAAAAATATTTTATAATTATTAACTACTACTCACGGATTATATTTTTTTAAAAACAAGTGATTTAGATAGAAATAGATAGGGGGTTCTCACTTCTCACCGTATCTTCTGTCATTGTATTCATCACGCACCATATGTGATATGAAATAGACTGAAATACTTACTGAAATAAAAATGCTGGAAGACATGGCGTAGTGATTCCCAAGCAGCTTATGAGTTAGGTTTCGCCAGATTTTTTACGAGAAGTTGCAGTGGAAAAATAAATTATTTCATTTGCTTTGTTCGATCTCATATTGACAAACGGGTTAAACCAGTACACAAAAGTATTGCATACCTAAACCATATTTATCGAAAATCAATCATGTTTATTTCCTTCGTCTTAAATTTCAGAATTTAAACGTAATTTAATATCATAGATTGTGTGTAAAATATGATTTTGTGGCGGTAAAGCCTCACTCTAGCTTTAGAAAAAACTTGGTTTTAATGGGAAATCTAATATTTTCCACTGGTTTGTTACTACAATACTACATATAAAATCATTTCGATAACATGTACATTTATTGTTAACACAGCTCTATGAAATAATTGTTATTGATAAAATAAAGTACTATATAAGTAGGCATCTACGTGGCATATAGTCAAAGTAAAGTTAATATGTGAACCCCAAAAGATGAGAAAATAAACAGATATGGGCGATGCATCCCAGAGGACGTGGTGTTATGGGATTTTTCAACCGAATTTTTTTCTCTTTATTTTGTGGAAAAAATAATAATCCCATAGCTTAGTATTAAAGGGCATATATATGTGTGTGAATATACTTATCTATTCATTTTAGAAGCTCAATGCACACAAGCACGACGTGTTTTGCAACATTCCCCTTGTTTCATGTAAATATTTGAATTTATTAAAATATTTTCTTAGTTTTCTCTTTGCTCCAGTAATTTATTTTCTAATGAATAAAGCCAGTAGATTTCTAGTGAGAATTTGTCAATTTTTGTTTTGACTGAGTTTGCCAAATTTTTTTGAAGGAGAATCTAATCTACTAACAAAAAAATGACATAAATATATATTTTACCCCATAAGTTATGGACTTTTGAGGGGTTGACAATTCAATGGATCTATTCACAAAAAGGAGGCGACATTTAATTCCGTATGCATGGTGTAAGTTGCTAAAATTTGGAAATCAACGATTTTTTTAAAAAGTATGATGAAAACGATTAAATTTATACCCGTATATGCACTCCTTTATATTATTATACTGGTTACAAGATGTCGTACATGTCGTCGATGCTAATCTTAGTTTGATGTTAAAACACTTTGGGTGAGTACCTTTTTTTTTATCAAGGCAATACTCAATTGTCAGTTTCAAATTATAATTGTATCAGGTAGCGAAACATATAAAGTTTCATTTCTTATTTCCTCTTGTGCAATAAAAAATTTTTTCTTAGTTATTAATTGAAGTCGAAAACTATATTTCCTTGTAATTTAAATACATCACGCCAAAAAGTATTAGAAAAATTTAAATTCAGTATATTGATCAACCGGTAGAAAATTTTCGGGAAGACGCAGGTATAAATGTGTTCAGCATTGTAAATTCAGAAAGTATTTATTAATCCAGCGAACTAAATTTTCGTAACAAAAGAATCCCACCCTCTATTATAAGCTATTTATATTAATATGATAAATAAAACTACAAGCAATATCGAGATGTTATTAATTTTCTTTATGTAAGTTGTCTTCTTTCGGTGCCACCTCCTTTTGTTTCATACATCAAACATTTATCAGCACCACACGGTTCTGAGTGTCCAAACTGAGGTATAATTCATACACACACACAACACACTTACATGAACGTGATATCCATTTCAGCGTACGTAGATATAATATATATCTATGTATACTTGTCAAACAAATATACATAGAAGATATTCATCAAAGAAGTATTTCATAATCTTGACATTGGGAGATTAACACAAGTAATTAATTAATCGGTCGAGATTATTATCAGTTGCCATGGTTCATTTTTTGTTTATGAATTTGTTAATGTTTTTTTTTGAATAAATAATTTGTTAATGTTTGTTTATAAGGTGTTATACTTCATTATGATATTAATCTTAAGAAACATAACTAATACTTTATTTCTTTTCACAATAATTATTTAAAATTTGGAGTGAAATTTGGAGTATATACGAATTCTGATGATAAAAATGCAAATTATCAGTGGAAGGATTTTCTCTGTATTTTTTGAGTTTCGTGTTTCAAAAACCAAATGTATACTACATTTATTTAGCTCGTCATAAATAAAAAACAAATATTTGTTTTTCAAACCGTGTAAGTCCATAGAGGGAGAGAGATAGGAATAGGAGGCTGACTTTTGAGAGAAAGAGAGTAAATGCATTTTGCTGTCCATGTTGACTCTTTGAAAGCAAAGCCAAAGCCAGGCCCTTCATTATTCCTGCTTTTCATTCCATTAATTTATTAATTACTTACTAATTAAATTAACTCATCTTTTGCTCTCTCTCTCATCTATCTTACTAACTTTTCTATAAATATAACCAACATCTCTCTCCAATTCCTCAGACAAAACTAAACCCGTTTGGACTTTCTTTGTCTTAATTCTCAAAACTTTCTGAAAGATTTCTAAAAAAGTCCACAAAGTTTTAAGATTTTGTTCTATAAGCTTATCAAAACCGTTTAAAAGGTCGAATTTCTTGCCCTAAGCTATATATTTTCATATTGAAAGGAGAAAAAATGGGAAGACCACCTTGTTGTGAAAAGACTGGAGTGAAGAAAGGGCCATGGACACCAGAGGAAGACATCATCTTAGTTTCTTACATCCAAGAACATGGTCCTGGAAACTGGAGATCTGTCCCTACTAACACAGGTGTGTCTTTGTAGTTTCTTGATCACAAATTAATTAGTTTGTTTTATTGAACTTTAAATTTACTTTTTATGTATTAAATTTTATTTGGAGGTTTAAATTTACATATTCGCATGCCTTGGTTGGTATGAAATTAAATGTGAGTGTCATAAATAGCCTATGTTATTTGTTCGAGCCGTTTGTCCACACATCTCTAATTGCCATTTTATCCATTTACCTTGAGTTATTGGGTTAAAATCTTTGTTAATTTGGTATTTTAGGTCTGAGAAGATGTAGCAAGAGCTGCAGATTAAGATGGACTAATTATCTTCGACCCGGTATTAAGCGTGGAAATTTCACTGAGCATGAAGAAAAGATAATTGTTCATCTTCAAGCCCTTTTAGGCAACAGGTACATACATGCACATGATCTATATCTGTCCGAAAAAATTACCTTTCTTGGGTATATAATAGATCTAAATATGTTATTCTTTGTTTATAGATGGGCAGCCATAGCATCATACCTTCCAGAAAGGACAGACAATGATATAAAGAACTATTGGAACACTCACTTGAAGAAGAAGCTCAAGAAAATCAATGAATCTGGTGAAGAAGATAATGATGGCTTCTCTTCATCAAACACTATTTCACAAAAGCAACATCAAGGCTCAAATAAAGGTCAATGGGAGAGAAGACTTCAGACAGATATCAACATGGCAAAGCAAGCTCTCTGTGAGGCTTTATCTTTAGACATAAAACCATCATCAAAACTTTCTCCATCATCATCATCATTGTCAACACCAGTAATCATACCACAAAACATCCCTAGCTTCTCTTCTTCTTCCTCTACCACAACCACAACCACCACTACAAGCAACACTACTAATCCATGCCCATCAGGGGTCTATGCGTCAAGTGCTGAGAACATCGCTCGGTTGCTTCAAGATTTCATGAAAGACAAACCAAGAACATTAACTCTAACATCCTCATCTTCACCGGTTTCAGAGACCGGACCACTTGTTTCAGCAGCTACTGAGGGAGGAGAAGGGTTTGAACGATCTTTCTTTGGCTTCAATTCCATGGAAGAAACTCAGAACTTGACTCAGGAGGCAAGCTTCTTCCATGACCAAGAGAGCAAACCGGCGATAACAATGGAGCAAGACTCTGGTTTGGTATCGCAAGGATCTTTATCTTTGTTTGAGAAATGGCTATTTGATGAGAACATGGTTGGTATGTCGTTAGAAGGACAAGAAGCGATGTGCTAGAATTAAATCAAGTGGGATATATCTAGAATATGAGGGTTAATTAGTTATAAGTTATAACCTAAAATATGTATTATTGCATTAGGGTTTTAGAGTCTTTAGGAGCTTTTAGCTCTACAACACTCTTTTCCCCTTTTGGTGATATAATCTATTTTTCTGTTTAATTGTATCTTTCATAACGTAACACAAAGGGTGTACGTGTACCCATCTTTATTAATGTAACTAGGGGTTTGTCCGCGCTTCGCGCGGAAGTTTTAATATTTTAAATTTAAAAATTGGTAATTTTACTGTATCTAAAGTAGACTATGCTAATACTATTTTTAAAATGAATAAATCTCTAGATTATTGTATTTAATATGAAAATTTATAATATATATATATAAAGCTTCGAAATTATATAGATATATCTTAATCACCACNAACTAGGGGTTTGTCCGCGCTTCGCGCGGAAGTTTTAATATTTTAAATTTAAAAATTGGTAATTTTACTGTATCTAAAGTAGACTATGCTAATACTATTTTTAAAATGAATAAATCTCTAGATTATTGTATTTAATATGAAAATTTATAATATATATATATAAAGCTTCGAAATTATATAGATATATCTTAATCACCACTTTTTAATACTATAGGATGTAATAAAATATAATTATATAACTAAATTGATCAATTCCATTATTTGTTTAAAGTTATGTTGATTTTGGGTATTATGATTTGAAAATTGATATTAATGTGGACTATAAAGATCTCAACGATTATAAGTATATATATATATATATATATTTTTATATGAAGATATTTCGAGAAAATGGTTCAAGTAAATAAAACATCACGATTTGTTACTGTGAACTGAGAACTCAAAGCAAAGTCTCATGTTTTTTTGGGATTATAAAAACATGTGTGGCTGGATTTACGATGCTTATGCATTCAACGATTTATTTCTAATGGGTGGGGATGGGTATCGATTATTAGACAGATTGCTTGGAAGCACGTATTCTTGCTTTATTCTACTGATGTCAATCTGCAATGCATGAGTTCAAAGATGCCATGGATAAGTTCCATGTTGGTGACTTAGTGTTTATTGGTTACCGAAAACACAACCTCTATGAACGCACCAACAAAACAGAAACACAAACATACAAATGAGTAACCATTTTTAGTAATACAAAATGGTTATTAATCACCAATTCTGTAATTATTTCCTCTTATTCTCTTAATCACCACAGAAAATATAGTTTCAACGGACCTGCTTAAAACTTCAACCATTGCATTGTAAACCACAACATCCTTCACTTTGGTCGTACAATCTCTCCAGCATCCTCCACGAAAACTTGTTTCATGTAACCTGAGATCATCGATCTAGAACATAGAACATTATCATCTTTCATCGTTTCAAACACAATCCTTGTTTCCATGAATGAATCAAGTAGCTATTTATTAATACTTCTTAATCTCACGGTCACCATAAGCGGGAGAGCATTTGATGACAATGAGATGTTTTCATCTTTCTTCCCTCTCTGCAATTCAGAATCAAAAGTCAGTAATGCAACATTTCGGTCTTGCTATTGAAACATTCAAAATTTAACTCACCAGTTCAAAGTGAAAAGAGGGCAAGAAGCGAACTTTAAGATTCACTCAGTTACTCTACACATTCTTCCATGTTGAGAAAGACCTGAAAGAAGTAAGAAGAAGCTGGAGAGTGATAAATTTTCAGAGGTGGCTTGGTTTTATTTTAGAGGTTAACATAGAGAAAAAACTTTGAGTGGTCCAGTTTCACATTAAATAGACATTTTTTTCCTCTTTGCCCTGTTTCCAAGCATGAGCCAAGAACCAAACTTTGGTTTGACTAATCTGACTCTGGTTGTTTCTCCAGTCTGGTGTATGTGTAGATAGAAAAAGGTGCCTTAAATGAGCTGCACAGATCAAAGTGACTTGTACAATAAGTTAGAGTTTTTGGTGAAGTTTGTATATGCTTAAAAGTTAAAAAGAAGTTAAATGCATAATCACTGACTGACTCGGCTTTGGATCTTTGGCTTGTAATCCTAATGCTTGTCGTCTTGTATATAAGAAAACAGTGAATTGTTGTTTGCTCGAAAAAATTGATGCATAGTGAGTCCAATATCTGGAACCATTCCTGCAACTATATAATGGTGAGAATATTTTGTTTCACTGAATAAAATATTTATTTGGATACTACCTTTAACTAACTCTCTCTTATAATTTTTTAAAAAAATTTCAATGAGCTCTATAATTTGAACAACCAAAGCTTATTTACTCGCATAAGAGAATCACTGATACACAAATGCTTTCGGTGATATTCAAAATCATAACACAAAAGACAATGAGAAATTTAACACATTTAAGAAATGGAGAAAACATACTTGAGGGCTCGCGGATATCGCCATGGACATTTTCAATCGAGGGTTCTGGGAGCCATGTTCTTGAACAATAAATTCTAAATTGTAAAATAGAGCAAAAATTTCACTAAAAAGCTTCACCACTTCCAAAAACCGACTAAAAACTTCCTATTGATTTTTTATCAAACAGCAATTCTGATTCGTTTTTGTAAGGTATAGATTGATTAGAGTATACACACAAGTTAATCAATAGGCATAAAAAAGTGTTACTGTCGATGCAAAATTCAATTATGTCATATAATCATAACACTTAATCACAGCGGATAAATAAATCTAGAAAGACAAGGAAAGACCAACTGTCGTATTCTAAAGACGAAAATACGATTCACAATATATAACAAATAAAACCAATCGAATAAGAACATGCAAATCACATAAGAAACTACAGATTGAGATCTTAATCATTGGCATTCACCTATCATGAAGCTAGATTGACGAAACCGGCAAATAATTTTCCTGATCAATTATCCAAGGATTAGTAATCTTAACAAAAACAAAACAGGAGAAGAAATATAAAGAGAAAAATAAAATCAGAAGTAAGCGTTTAAGAACACACCTTTAAAGAGAGAGACGTATGAGCGATTTAGGTTTTGTGAGAGAGAGTTGATGATGAATCAGAGAAAGACGACGTATCAGTTTCGTCGCAAGGTTTTCTGAAACGTACATAACTTTTTACAATAATAGCATATGGGTCTTGTTTGATTTTTTAAAAAAGTCCACTACAATTTTTCAGTCTAAAAACATTTAAAAAGTGATGATAGTGGGCTGCAAAACCGAGAAAGAGAAACCAATTTAAACCAAGACGTGAGAGCTAAATTGTGATCGGTCTAATTTAAATGGATTATTGATGATATGACTTTTTTTGCCCCCCTCACAAATGCTTATGTGGATGCATGAGAAGGGAGAAAAGCCTATTTTATTGTATAAGATNAGTCTAAAAACATTTAAAAAGTGATGATAGTGGGCTGCAAAACCGAGAAAGAGAAACCAATTTAAACCAAGACGTGAGAGCTAAATTGTGATCGGTCTAATTTAAATGGATTATTGATGATATGACTTTTTTTGCCCCCCTCACAAATGCTTATGTGGATGCATGAGAAGGGAGAAAAGCCTATTTTATTGTATAAGATGTGTTTTGTAATTTATGGCTCATATGGCTATTCAAATGGCTTTCAAAGTTTATGGTTAACTCAAGTCTTTTAATAATGTAGATAGTGAATCATTGATATACTGTATATATACTAACGTTGTCAAAAAATAATACTGTACTGTATATACTTTTTTTTCCGAAACTAATACTTAACACACACAAATTCAACTTTATATATATATATATTGTGATTTCGTTATCTAATTTCTACTTCACTAATAGAAATTTTGAGTTAGAACTTAAACAAACTTTTTTACTTTGAAAATCTAATGAACAACATTTTTACGCAAATCTTAATATATCTTATTTTATAATAATAAGAAACTGAAGGGAGATACAACATATTTATCATTTCGTCCTTTCAAATCCATCATAATCCCTGAGAAAAATATCATTAAATGGTAATATAAAGACTCCACCTACTGGGGTTATTCAAACATTATTACTACATTAAAATATTTTAATTATGTTGTACTAATTGGGATAATGTCTTGACGACTAGACATGTGATAATGTTGATTTTCAGTTGACATAAACACTATTCAGCTCACCTAAAAAATAAACGAATACTAGAAATGATAAATTATAGATTTTGCTTTAAAATAAAGAATAATCTTCCTTCTAGAACAAAAAGAGTTAATAAAGATTAAAGAGAAATAAATAAATAAATAAATAAATAAAGATTACAGAATATATAATAAGATTTCATAAACGATATTTTGCTCTTTTCATAGAAGTTAGACTACAAGTATGAGATGCCTTTGGATAAGCAATATATAATCCAGCATCTGACAAATGATTCATTAATGTGACAAGATCCGAAGGAAACTTTGTATTCATACTGTATACAATATGCGTACAATAAATATAAGAGACAAAAAAAAACACTAGTGGTGGAAGGAACTTTGAAAATATACGAATAAACACAACAATAATGTAAAAGAAAAAGAGTATTAAATGCTAACATGTGAAGGGCTTGACTTAGTGCCTGTGAAACACAGTGTGAGCTGCTTTAACCACCGAAGCCTCTCATTTTCGTAGTATAGTTAATTTCACACTGTTGTGACAAAAAAAAGTTAATTTCACACTCTCTCCACTTTAAGGTTAAAGCTTAACCGTTGACTTGTTTGTCTTCTTTATCTCGTACATTAACTTCGATGATTATAACCGGACTGGTTGTTTAAAGTCCCTTTCGGGTTGTATAATCAAAAGCTTTCCGATCAAAAACCGGACTACTGAACCAAACCGGTTCAGTTCAATGAAAAACCGATGATGATAAACATGAATGACTGCTGATTCTTGTTTTCTTATATTAGATTCAAATTTTGGAGCTTTCATGTCTGTTGCTAATAACTTATGATTGTTTTTCGTCAGTTTATATCATCTATGTTGAAAAACCTCAGAGGACAAAACTAAACTTCTTCATGAACCAATGCTTGAGTTGCGACAAAACGTTTTCCCATAAGAGCATCCACATCAATAAACTTTCTCTTTAGATTCATTGAATCAATTTTTTATTATTAAAATTTTTCTGTTTTCTTTTTGATTTTTTTTGGAAAAAAAAAAAATAGACGAATCGCGGGTTGCCACGTGTCGTGGTGGTCGGCGCTATAGTGATAAACTTTAGAAGAGATATAGTTCACCCAAGAGAACTTTAGGAAAGAGGAATTCATGAGGTTTTCTTATTTTATTATTTTTTTTTCTTGAGTTTCGTGTGAACTCCCCCATAAATCCCCAACAGACTTGCGACGGACTTGCTCTAAGCTTGCTCAGTAACTGATCTCATTGTTTGTGTAATTCAGATATGGATCATGTCTTCAGACTAAAGAGTCATTAGCTTGACCACAAATGTATGTTGGTGTAGTAAATTAAGTTCAAGTTTCATCGACAATTATAATTTATAATCTTGTGAAGAGGCACGTAATCATGATCAAAATCTTGATAGAAATGGATTAAACCAATTCACTTCAACTAAGAGAATGATCTAAGTATTACTACAACAAAAACATTGGTTTACTCAAAATAAACTCAAGAGACAAGAAGTGTAGACTCAAAACCGAGGAAAAGTAAAAAAAAAAGATCTAAGAGTCGGCAATGGTGACCTCAACCTCAACACCAGGCTCAATGGTGATGGAAGTGATCTGCTTCACCACATCAGGAGAGCTGAAAAGATCAATCACACGCTTGTGAACCCTCAATTCAAATCTGTCCCACGTGTTAGTTCCTGTTACAAAATAACGATGTTATAAGTCTGACAATATATTAATGAAACATGATCTAATTATTTCAAAGCCTTATATAAACATACCTTCACCACAAGGAGCTTTACGGGTAGTGATCTTAAGAACCTTTGTGGGCATTCTCACTGGCCCTTTAGTTCTGAGTCTCTTGTCTTTAGCTCCACGTACCAAATCAGCACACACTAATAAACACATTTTGAAACCCAAATCATTTAATTTGTAATCAATTCAAATAAAGCTACAAACTTTACGCATTAGCTAACTGATTAATTAAAACCCTTTAACAGTTTAATACTATAAACTATCAAAATTCTCTGTGGACTTAGTTAGAAGGGAAGAGATCTAAAACACAAACCTTTCTCAAGATTCTTGACGTTCTTGGAGGAGAGAGTGATTCTGATCTTGTGAATTTGTTCGAGTGGCTCTTCTAAACCAGCTTTAGTGGGTTTCATTGCTGCATAAGCCATGTTTTAAAGCTCTTTTCTCTCTTTTTCCTTCTGTCAAATTACAAACATAACGTTACAGATGGATCATGTTACTTCAACACACACAATTTTCAGACATTCATGTAAAACCAAAAGAGACTATACCTGTGAGACGACGACGACGGCGGTGATGAAGGTAGCAAAATTAAAGAACTTTTAAACCTTAAAAATAAAGACTCGTGGATTGAAAACCCTAGATTTGTAGCTATGGGTTTTGTGAGGCCCAATCCTTGAAGTGTTTTAGATTAGCCCAAGGAAATTTCGATAGCCCATTTGTGTCTGGCTGGAAAAATTATTCGAATCTGATAAACCGAAAAAGTAGTACCAAACCTGAATCGGAACTGAATACACGCCAGAATGGATCCAAGAAAACCAAACTTAAATTCGATCCGAACTGGAATATTTTGGATATTCCAACCTTTGAATCACAATTATATATTTTAGATTTAAGATCCATAAAATATTCAGAAATATATGAAAAATATTTAGAAATTATCAAAATTAACCGCAAGTAAATATCTGAACATAGCAAAAAATGCTCAAAACACACAACAGATATCCAAAATATTTGCTTGTTCTCCATCCGTACATCCAAATCGGACAAATTTTCATGTTAATTTTAGATATTTAGTCTAATATTATTTAAGCTTATATATTATCTATTATTTTTATTTAGTGTTACATAATATAAATGATTACTCGGCCCCGAACCAAACCCTAACCATAGTTAATAATGTACAAATGAGGTTTAAATTTTTAGTCTCGAAAACCTGAAACTCGAATAAATCTGAATAAATCTGAACGGATACTCAAACGTCTGACAATAATAATTTAGCCTCTTTAGTTTGCCAAGTGTTTTGAGACTCTTGACTATTACAAGAGAGAAATAATGGGAGTGGCTGTTTATTGGAAGTATCTTTTAAATCTTGACTATTGTGTCTTCTTTGTGTGTTGTATTTTAGCAATTCATGTATAATCCTTTATGTGTTTCAAATTTGTAGTCTCTTTTTTATTAATTCAAAATGCTTATGTTTTAATTTTGCTTGTTCATTGTTCTTACAATCTTATAAAAACAAATATATGTGTTTGTTTAACATATAATGCATAACCATAATCTGGACATAAATATAGCTTTTTTAAAATATGTCATGAACTAGAAAGTTATACCGGTAGATACAAAGTAATATAAAGTGTACACAATAAATAAACAATTTAGTATAAAATTATAATCAATAGGTATGCTGACCTCGATTAATTAATTATATATATATATATATATATATATATATATATATATATATATATATCATACATGCCTTCGGATTTACACACTTGTTTGAGGATGAATCTCACGTGTGTGTATTTTGAGCCCAAGAGGAAGATGTTGTCTCTTCTTCAGAGAGATGATTAAATGTTTCATTCGAAAAATTATTTGATGGATCTTTGTTAACTTCTTCCTCTTCTTGGCTCAAAATTAGCTGAGAAGCAACAAGCTTGTCAAGAGTTTGCCAATCCATCAATTGATCATTATGATCATCATTGAGTAGTAGTCCTGATTGATGATGATGATCAGTATTTGTGTTCATAACATTACTGATAATATGACCATGATCATCTTCATAACCTTGTTGCATTAATGTGGTTGGTGTTGCATTGTGAGCGCCTAGTGCAACACCATAAGGGTCATTGTTATTATGATGTAATGATGATGATGAGCCTTGATATATTTTTGGAATCTCTAGATCAGGAAGATGGTAGTAATTACCACTAGAAACACCCTTTTGCTGTGAGAACCAATTAGGTTCTTGGCCTGGTGATGATGCCATCATTGTTCTTGGATTGTTGTAATTTATAGTCGTTAGTTTCTTCTTGAAAGCTCGACAAACCACCCATCCTTCCTCATGAGGTGGTCCATTTTCATCGGTCTCAAGACGATATTCATGCATTATCCAATCAGACTTTTGACCATTTGGGGCCCGGCCTTTGTAAAACACAAGAGTCTTCCTCATCCCCACAAGCTCTTGTTTTGAGTATATGGCCTTGTCTCGACCAGTTGCTTTCCAGAATCCTGAGCATGTTGCTCTATTGGTTCGTGTCCCTGTTGGATACTTCTTGTCCTTGTAACTAAAGAAATACCATTCCCTCTCTTCTCCTGTCCCTCTTCCACATAACTCTACATATTAAACACACAACATTCTTAACTATAAAATGAGGTAATATCTAACATATAAAGAACCATAGGTAATACATTTATTATCAATTAATTATATGAATTATAAATATCTTAACATTAACTAGTACATTATCATTCACGGTTTAAAAAGTGAAAATCGAAAAGGTATGTTGGAATGCATACATACCTTGGATGTCCCATGGCTCGATTTTATAGAGATCAACATCTTTGATTACATCAACTTGCATTCCCGGGAATGCAACTTTATTTTTAAGATAATAGTCTACGAGTTCTTCATCGGTCGGGTGGAATCGATAACCGGGAGGAATGTGTGAGAGATTCTCCATTTGATCCTTTTCTAAATTTTCTGCAGCCAATTTAGAATATTTATTTATGCATGTAATTAATGTAAAATCAAGTATCAAAGTAATTATTTACATTAGAGACGTATATTTCTTTTCCACACGTAATAATGGTAGCACCATTTCATTATGAAGAAAAGTTACGTTTGAATACTCATAATATCTCGACAGATAATTCCACACATAAAAAGCAAAAAAGAAAAAGAAAAAAAGAATCATAGTGCATGGTTTCAAACTAGTAGTTAAGTTTCCATAATCTGCGTGAATGAAACTATTATTACTTCACATCTTTTTCCCCTATTGGTGTTCTATATAAATTTGATGAAAAGGTTACTTAAAGCTGGGAAAATAAGTAACAATGAACATTTTTGATCATATACAAAGATTTGATAACATAACGAAAATGATAAATGACACAAGGTTCTCTATACTGTTTTTAAAAAAAAAAGGTTCTCTATACTGAAAAAAAAACTTACTTGAATTTTCTTATATACGCAAGATTTGTAAGAGTATTCGGTTTTTTCTTCTTTGGTTTCTCGTAGAGTTACAAAAGCGGCTTGGCTTGTTTATGTTGAGGTCATGAAAGAGAGTATTCCGGTAATGGCGGATTCTCTAGGCTTATATATGTACACATATTTATAGGCATATAAATCTAAACAGAGACAAAAACTCTCATGCTGCAAAAAGAAATGTCCTTTTTTAATGTGGTTTTTCTCATACTTTATTAACAGAAGAAGATTCTATTTGGATTTCGGGGGTCTTTAATTATAACTGAGCTATCACTGTCTTCCTCTTTCTCTACCTGAAGAAGTGTTGCTTAAGTTTTCACTTTTTATGTGTGTGTGAAAGAGAAGTAATGTGATCTTTCGGAACTATCTCTACCAACTATTGAATGCGACATTTTCAAAACTAATTTAAAGATAGTTCCAGATGTCTGAACGATTAAATACGTAGTTCAAACAATACAGTTTCCTTCTTATTTACCTTCAAACCTTAAAATGTAAGCTTTCTTTACTTTTTTTTTTCTGTTGTTGATGTTACTCAGATACCGCTACACTCTTGGATTGAACTTTAGAAATCCTACTTTTTGTTGATAACACAATATAATAGATTCGTTTGGTGAAATTGATACGTATAATTCTTTTGAAAATGTTAAGAGAATGTATTGTTTTAATATTAATTGTCCACTTAGTAGTCTTGATGGATATAAATGTTTTATTGGCATACCTCGGTAACCTTACGACTTTACAATGTTGATTTAGTCGTTACATATAAAATTCAAAATACTAATATTAGAAAAATAGATTAGAGAACTTTCACAAGTTAGTAGGAATTGCTCTATAAGACCTATGTATATTTTTTGGGTAACCTTGAGCTTAGATTCTGTTATATGGTTCAACATATAGAGTGTTTTTATTTTATTTTAATTAAATTAAATTATCTTGTTTTCTTATAAAAGGTGATATTTAATGTTGACGAATAAGAACAGTTGGTAAATAATGAAATCCAGTAATAAATAACGTGGCGTGAGATGAGTGGTTACGTAATAACACAGGGAACATCATCGCGGCTGAAAAGCTCCTTATCGCCTTCGGTGCTGGCCCCAGTTTGTATACTCATACCACGTTGGTCTTTTAATTCGTGATTTCAATCAACATAACAAAATTTACTTATGTAGTCGTACATCGAATTCAAAAGATTTAATACCAGGCAACTGAATCTTTATTAGATGAGGAGAGGTTCTTAGTTTCGTCCAACATAACTATATATATACAGTTTGCTTAACAAAAACTTAACTGAGTTTTTTTTTTATACGTTTGAAGGATGGTAAATTTAAACTCGAATAAAGCAGTGATCAGCTAAATTACAGGATCAAATAGATCATTAGATTCTATGGTGAAATATTATTACCTAATGCTAGACCTTGCATACTCATGCGTCCTTTTTCTCTCATTTTCTTTTTGATGGCATTTTTCCTTTCTCTTATGTTTGTGAAATTGATATATTAAAATATAAAATAAAATACAAAGATGGTTCTTAAGCAGTACGCTTCAATCCCCAACTCTTTACTTGCAAACACTATGATTATTCCTGCAATCTCTATATCATTTTAGTATTGTCTATTTACATACATCAACACTTTATGCTCATGAGTAACGTTCAATATATGGAGATGGCTAACTCATGTACTCCGTGCTATTTTACATTAAAGTGCAGTATATACATATAACCCCTATGAAAATATTAAATTTTTCGTTAAATGCTCTATATATACCAAAGCATACACTCTTTAGTGTTGTTTAAAATTTTATAACCATATTCTATATTTGTAATAATGTATGCTAAACTCTTTTTCATGGTACACGGACATCACTTTAATTTTTTAACTATTAAATTAATAAAATTTCACACACTACTTAATTTAAATTAGTCGATTAACCATAATGAAATCTCTGTTATCTAAAGCAACAGAGACAACATGGGTTATAAACCTCTTTAACCATCATCATATGTCATTACATGATGCAACTATGAATTAAAACAATATTTTCATTTTTTTTTTAAAATCTGTGGGTTGATCAGAACGAAAATATTTAGTTTTTCGGCAAATTCTCTATATAGTGAGACTTGTACTCTTTGGTGATGTTTATAAATCCCAAAATTCATATACCACTTAATCAGTGGCCAAACCCACTACAAAAATCTATTTTCTGAAGAAACATGAACAACTAAGGTCCCAAACCTCATTAACCTTCATACTATGTCACTCAATGATGCAAATAAGCATTAAAACAAAATTTTCATATTTTCTAATTTTCCCGAAATATGTGGGCTAACACCTACGAAAAAATCAATTTTTCTGATAAATGCAATATTCAGAAGTTTAGGCTCTTCATAGGTTATAAATAATTACCTAATAACATTCTAAATTTTTATTAATGTATGTTAAAGTTAATTTCTTGGTACATGGACTTCATTTCTAATTTTCGAACATGTTATCTATTTAAAATTCATATACCACTTAATCAGTGGACAAACCCACTACAAAAATCTATTTTCTGAAGAAACATGAACAACTAAGGTCCCAAACCTCTTTAACCTTCATACTATGTCACTTAATGATGAAAATATGAATTAAAAGAAAATTTTCATATTTTCTAATTTTTCCTGAAATATGTGGGCTAACCCCTATGAAAAAAATCAAATTTTCCGATAAATGCTATATTCAGAAGTTTAGGCTCTTCATTGTTGATAAATAATTACCTAATAACATTCTAAATTTTATTAATGTATGTTAAAATTATTTTCATCGTACATGGACATCATTTCTAATTTTCGAAAAGGTTATTTATTTAAAATTCAAGTACCAATTAATCAGTGGACAAACCTACTACAAAAACTCTATTTTCTGAAGAAACATGAACAACTAAGGTCCCAAACCTCTTTAACCTTCATACTATGTCACTGAATGATGCAAATATGTATTAAAACAAAATTTTCATATTTTCTAATTTTTTCCGAAATATGTGGGCTAACCCCTACGAAAAAATCAAGTTTTTTCGATAAATGCTATATTCAGAATTTTAGGCTCTTCATTGTTGATAAATAATTACCTAATAACATTCTAAATTTTATTAATGTATGTTAAAATTATTTTCATTGTAAATGGACATCATTTCTAATTTTCGAAAAGGTTATTTATTTAAAATTCAAGTACCAGTTAATCAGTCGACTAACCTACTACAAAAACTCTATTTTCCGAAGAAACATGAAAACCTAAGGTACCAAACCTCTTTAACCTTCATACTATGTCACTGAATGATGTAAATTATTTTCTTGGTACATGGACATCATTTCTAATTTTCGAACATGTTATCTATTTAAAATTCATATACCACTTAATCAGTGGACAAACCCACTACAAAAATCTATTTTCTGAAGAAACATGAACAACTAAGGTCCCAAACCTCTTTAACCTTCATACTATGTCACTTAATGATGAAAATATGAATTAAAAGAAAATTTTCATATTTTCTAATTTTTCCCGAAATATGTGGGCTAACCCCTATGAAAAAATCAAATTTTCCGATAAATGCTATATTCAGAAGTTTAGGCTCTTCATTGTTGATAAATAATTACCTAATAAAATTCTAAATTTTTCTTAATCTATGTTAAAATTATTCTCTTGGTACATGAACATCATTTCTAATTTTCGAACAGGTTATCTATAAAAAATTCATATACCACTTAATCAGTGTATAAACCCACTACAAAAATCTATTTTGTGAAGAAACATGAACAACTAAGGTCCCAAACCTCTTTAACCTTCTTACTATGTCACTTAATGATGCAAATATGAATTAAAAGAAAATTTCCATATTTTCTATTTTTTCCCGAAATATGTGGGCTAACCCCTACGAAAAAATCAATTTTTTCCGATAAATGCTATATTCATAATTTTTGGCTCTTCATTGTTGATAAATAATTACCTAATAACATTCTAAATTTTTATTAATGTATATTAAAATTATTTTCTTGGTACATGGACTTCATTTCTAATTTTCGAACAGGTTACATATTTAAAATTCATATACCACTTAATCAGTGGACAAACCCACTACAAAAATCTTTTTTCTGAAGAAACATGAACAACTAAGGTCCCAAACCTCTTTAACCTTTATAATATGTCACTTAATGATGCAAATATGCATTAAAACAAAATTTTCATATTTTCTAATTTTTTCCGAAATATGTAGGCTAACCCCTACGAAAATATCAAATTTTCCGATAAATGCTATATTCAAAAGTTTAGGCTCTTCATTGTTGATAAAAAATTACCTAATAACATTATAAATTTTTCTTAATCTATGATAAAATTATTCTCTTGGTACATAGACATCATTTCTAATTTTCGAACAGGCTATCTATTTAAAATTCATATACCACTTAATCAATGGACAAACCCACTACAAAAATCTATTTTC